TATAAATCACTAAACCGTATTAACGTTAATTTACAACCCCGTCTCAATCTACTGCCGGATGAACGAGGCTTCTCTCATGCCACTGTCGGCCACAAGATCCCACTTTGGCTTGCGTATTTCACGGCCCATTGTATGCGTGTTTGTTGAACTTCCTTCGCACCGTAATGTAGCCCGAACATTCGCGAGGGAGATGCGGTGCGCATTTGCCCCGTTCGTCAACTTGTTGGCTCGCGACTTTGGTTTTGCTCATTTTGTCTCGAGGCCCTCAACTCTTGCAGCCTCATTCCTGCAAGGCGTTCTATCGGTTTCTGGGGGAAAAAATGCTCGGAAATATCGTTCGAACACCGATTTGTTCGAGTTCTGGTGCGTTCTACTGTAATTTTGATGGGGGGCTGCTTTGTTCTTTGCTGCCTTGCACACGCTTGATAAATGAGACGTATACAATGCGCTTATTATATTCTTGGTTCTTTCGGTAAAGTCACATAGAAGGGAAACAATAAAATAATAAAAATATAAAACAATACAATTCTCACGACGTTTCGACTGAAACACAAGCAATCATCATCAGGTGTGAAATCCACTGGAAGAAAATTTGAAAAAAGTGGCGTTTTTATTTATTATTTTATTGTTTCCCTTCTACGTGACTTTACAGAAAGAAGCAAGAACATGAATCTCTGCAGTCACGAAAGCTTTAAATCAAAATTTAATGCGCATATTGTTTATTCGTCTTTAATGACTGGCGTACCCTTTTCTCTTTTGTGCACTCCTATCGTTTTCGATGTTTGTCCTGTTTTGCTGTTGTTGTTGTAACTCGCCCCACACTGGACATCTGTGAGAAGAGATCTTCGCAGCTTATCGGATTCCTCCTTCCTGCAGCCTAATTGAACATTCTGAAATGCAGCATCGGCCTGCGAATGTGTGCAGTCGGAAGCAACGTTGCTCCGTTGTAGAAGCGGGCGTGCGGGCGTGCGGGCCGTTGGGAGTTTCTTCCAAATTAGGCCACTGGCTGCTTATAAATTCAAGCCGGCCCGCCAGGGTCTTATACCCGGGGTGAATGGCGTGAGCACGCGGATTGCTTGGAAAGGTTCTGCACTGCGGACCGCACGAAGTGGCCTCTTCCGGAGAGGCGAGGAAACGTGACACAGCCTGCGGTCTCCCAGCCACCGCATGCCCTGAATCGCCCCAACCCTGGCAACCGCATTCGAGTCACTTACTCAACGATGGTCAGTCCGTCTCTTGTTTTTGTTTTACGATCAGTGGAAACAAGAAGATGCTCGGTGTATTCGGCACTTTGCTTCGTTCATCATTTCGTAAAATTTTTTTTATAACTTTGCTTTATGTAAACCCCCACCTCTCGCTCTCTCTCTCGCTCACTCTCTCGATCACTCTCTCGCTCTCTCTCGTTCTGCACTCAATCCTTTTCGCAGTCTGACGACCTCCGACGGGTAGCTCATAACTGCATGCAGAGCTCCCCGTCATCTGCCACCGAGCACACGGCCTCCTCCATCGCCCACTGCTCCTTGAAGGCCGGCACGGCGTGGGTCAGCCGCGCATGGCGGAACTCCAGCCCACACACCCTGGCTCCGACCAGAGCGCGGAAGATGCCCCCAGGCTGCTGGCCGGACGTTTCCCCTCCAGGGCCACCTTCCTCGCCCTGTAAATGGCGAGCTTGGCATAGCCGACGAGCACGTTGACCAGCCCCTGAAGATCCACTCTGATATCGCTACTACCATGGTTGCTGTTCCTGTGAACGGGCCTCATTGATTCCTCCACCCATGTTGATGACTCGGGTCTAGCAGACTGAATGTTTCGGTTCATTCACCGTCACAGCACGATTGCTGTATCAAGTAACGATACAGCAATCGTGCTGTGACGGTTCCACCTGAAGACGGAAGCTTGTGTTGCCTCCGAAACGTCGTGATTTTTATATTATTTATATTTTACTTTTGTTAATTTTAATTAAAACATTTTACCTACGTGATTTTACCGAAAAAACCTAAGATTATGAATCCTTGCAGTCACGAAAGCTTCAAATCTAGAATTCTACTTTGATCTTTCCGCAGTAGTGTCCACGTGGTGTGTATCCCTCCACGTTTTAGGACTTGCGCTTTTCCGAAAATAATATTATTCCGAAACGCTGCAAGGCGGTTCTGCGTGACCCGTGTTTTCTTAAGTGGCCGCTCTTTGTCGGAGGGGGCTGCAATTCCGCAAGCGCTGATTTTGCATTAACACGCCGAGTGGGTTGACCCCGCTGCCTCAACGAGGGCTAAATAAAATATTCAACTCGATTGCTCGAGAGAGGCGGCTCAAAAAAACCAACATAAACCTCTTCTGTTTAACACGGAGTAGCAAACTTTCGCGACTAAATATTATCCATAATAGATGTTTTTGGGTTAGATCGCGTAAATTTAAATGTGTCGTTAAACCCGCCACCACCCGACACAGCCAATTATTAAGGTCTGTCACGTAAACAGAACGTGGCAATTCGTTACTCGTACAGCACAACGGTAAATGTTGTGGATTTGCTCTCCAACACACCGGTTAGTGCTGTACTAGTGACGAATTGGCACGTTCTGTTACGTGACAACCCTTACTAGTCGGCTGTGTCGGGTGGTGGAGGGGTTTAACGACACATTTATATTAACACGATCTAACCCAAAACACCTATATTATGGATAACCCCTTCTCTGTTCAAGCACAGACATTCGAACACTGATATTTGCACATCCTGATAACTGCATAAACGGCAATGCCCCCCCCTCCCTTCCCCGGTTTACGTCGAGGGATGCGTTCCTGGAAGGCGTTACGACGAAAAATCGAAACGACGTGAATCGAAGCGGTTTTCAGGGTAGCGGTCGAGGTGGTGGTGGTGGTGGTGGCAGAGGTCGCAACCGGGTACCCGATACCCGTACCCTACCCGATACCCGGCCGGGGTACGGGTACGGGTACCCGTTTGCGACCCTGGTGCGGCAGGGTACGGGTAGGCCGTGAGTCACCGGTGAGTAACCGTTTGTCACTCATTTCGGGTAGGGTACGAGTACGGGTAGGGAACGGGTACCCGTACCCGGCCGGGTACGGGTACCCGTTTGCGACCCTGGTGCGGCCGGGTACGGGTTCGGAATCAAAACCCGTTTGCGACCTCTGGGTGGTGGTGGAGGCTGAGAGGCGATGGATAACGAGGAAGAAGGGGACGACGCTGTGGGCGACGTGAGAGCGAGTCGTGCAGCGGCGGTGTTCATCATTAAAGCGACGACGTAGTTTGAGAAGCGACGTCAAAGGCGGAGACGTCAATCGGCGTATTGCTGTACGTATGGAGCAAAGGTACAAATCCCCCGTGTAGACTTTACCCGACCGTTGGGGCAAGTGCTGGTAGCATGTAGCACCTACGAAGGCCGACACAGCAAAATGAGCGGGTGGGTGACCCAACACCACGCCCGGCCGCCTTTGCTCCAGGTACGGTACTGATTTAAGGCTGAGTCGATCTAGGGGAGGCACAAGATCAGTTCCAATATATCGCCCCCTGTTATTGGTCGCGTGTGGGGGAATCGATCTCGGGTCTGGCAGCTTCGTGGCATGAATCGCGGCGTTGGTTTTCGCCTTGGGGACCGATTGACTCTCAGCGGATTTCAGAGAAACGGAGGGGAACTTTTTTGCCTTTCGCCTCAGCGCTGTGCGTGAGATGAACGTTTTTTTTTCATCGTCATATCATTTCCATGAAATGGAAAGAGCAATTTATTTTTTGTATTCCTCGATAGCGGCTGCTTATTGATGTTCGGTTTCTTTTTTCCTTTTAAAAGGCAAGAAATTTTGTTTTGTTTTCTCTCTCTAATACTCAATCGCCTTCAATATACACTTAAAGAAAATACACGACGATGTGATGAATTATGTATCTGTGTGTGCAACGCTGTGTGTATAATAATAATAATAGCGGGGATCGGGAGTGTAGCGGTTCGCACACCACGCTAGGAAGCCGCTCACAGCCACCAGCACCAGTGACATACTGAACCAGTACTGGGCCCCCGCTAGGTCAACTCAGCCTTAAATGAGTACCTGGTGCGATGTTAATCATCGCCACTTGCCCCAACAGTCTGTTACTGCCATATGAGGTTGATGTTTGCCTATGCCTGTGTAGGGCACAGCTGGTGCATCTGCCAGCCATCTCAGTCAGTCAGCCTGTAATGTGAGGATATATCAGGCTCAATGACGTATCACAACTTGTCATGATGATTGGCTCTGCCGGTCCTGGTTTATAGCCAATGGGGGGGAAGCCTAGGGGCGTGGCCCTGACGTAATGGAAAGGTGACAGCTGGAAGTAGGGGATTGGTTCTGCTGGCTTTGGCCACAGCCAATGGAGAGATGAGTCAGGGGCGTGGTCCCGGCAGCTTACGAGGGGGGCTAGAATATTCCATGGAGGCTAGCCAGGATTGAGGGAAACGTACCACGTGACCCGGGTATTAAATAGGGGTGGAGACGAACGACACGTGGTCAGAACGGGAACGAACAGAGGAAAGGGGCCACGCGGGAGCGGGGCTCCGGGTTGCCACGTGGCAGTGCGTCTCTCTCGCTATCTGTCCCTCTCACGCTGCTGCCTGTCAGCAGCGTGAAGGAAAAGCTGTAAACAAGTTGAATAAAATATGGATTCCAGAAGTCGTCTCAACGAGCTTCATTACAAACCCGTGGCACCTGCTGGGTCTGCCCCATGACCTCTTGCCAGCGAGCCTTCGACACTTCACGTGGCCTCAACGTGCACCTGGCCTGGCACAGGCACCGTGGTTGCGAATTGCGGCTGTTGTTATTGTTGTTGTGTACAACAAGCCGCAGCGGACGGAGCGGTAGCCCGGCAGGTTAGCGGCCCGCGCTACGAACCTGGCGGCGACCCCAAAATTTGACTGGCCGCTCGCCAAACAGGCGGACAAGCGAGCGAGTTCACAACGGAATTGAGCGAGCGAGAGAGCAAGCGAGCGAGTGAATAACCTGAGCGTGCGCGCGTTCTCTCCCAGCAAGGGCAACTTCAGGAGCCTCTGCGTGCTGTCGTTCCCGGAGCCGGCCGACGTGGTGTGGAAGGCCCTGGACCAGGCGACCTTCGTGCTGCTCTACGTGCTGCCGCTGCTCATCGTCTCCGTGGCCTACGTGACCGTCGCCAAGAAGCTGTGGCTGCGCAACGCCATCGGCGACGTCACCACGGAGCAGTACGTGGCCCACCGGCGCAAGAAGAAGAAGACCATCAAGATGCTCATGCTCGTGGTGGTGGTCTTCGCCGTCTGCTGGTTCCCGCTCAACTGCTACGTGGTGCTGCTCTCCAGCCAGGCCATCCAGACCAACAACGGCATCTACTTCGCCTTCCACTGGCTGGCCATGAGCAGCACCTGCTACAACCCCTTCATCTACTGCTGGCTCAACGAGAGCTTCCGCTCCGAGCTCAAGGCCCTCGTGGCCATCTGCACCCCGCGGGGGGGAGCGGCGGGGGGGGAGGCTGGCGGTAACCCGCTGGGCGTGATCCCCCGCGCGTCGCGCCAGGCGTGGGCCGAGCGCAGGAGCTACCGCCGTGGGGCGCGCATGGTGGAGAGCCGGCTGACGTCCAACCCGGCGGTGGTGGCACCGGAGGGGGGCGAGGAGGAGGAGAAGACGGAGGAGGTGTCGTCCGATCTGGTGGACGCGGTGAGTGGGAGAGGTGGCATCCTGACATGGCGATGGTGATCGTTTTGTAACGTGGACATTTTTGGGAAATGTAATTTGTTCGTATCAGCCGATCAAGTCATTGTATCGATAGCGCTATTTCGTGCAAAAGATGCAATTCTGAATGCTTTACAGGGAAAACCAAACATTGTAAAGATACTACATCGCAAGAACAATCAAAGAAATTGCCATACAAAACAAAATCGCATTATAATAAATTTGCTAGCGAAGGTATATTAAAAAAAACACTATAAAAGTAAAACCAAGTAAAAAAATTTTTATTTAAAGCTTTCGTGACTGCAGGGATTCATCTTCTTGGTTCTTTTGGTAAAGTCACGTAGAAGGGAAATAATAAAATGATAAAACATAATAAAATACAATTCTCACGACGTTTCGGCCACAACGCAAGCAGCCGTCCTCAGGTGAAGAACAGGTCTGTCGGAAAGACAGCGTCTGAATGAGCACCACCAAGCTTGGCAGCGATATGCAAATTCCTTTGTCAAGGCGTCCTTCCCCCTCTAACTCAGCTTAAATATACGCTGCCAAGATTGGTGGTGCTCATTCAGACGCTGTTTTTCCGACAGACCTGTTCTTCACCTGAGGACGGCTGCTTGCGTTGTGGCCGAAACGTCGCGAGAATTGTATTTTATTATGTTATATTTTTATTATTTTATTATTTCCCTTCTACGTGACTTTACCGAAAGAACCAAGAAGTATGCTGTTCTATTCACCGCTGAATCTCGGCACGCGCAGGCATCTCAGTGGTAATTTTACTCAGAGAGGCGTAAGTCAAGGCGCTGTTTTTAAAGACACTCTTACTCACCGCAAGGAACCGTAGCGACGCGACCACGCTCTGATAGCTGGCGCAAAAACTGTGCCACACACACTCCCGCACGGCCGTTTAACTTTTCGATTCCGTTCCTTTGACGTACACCTACGTACTCTTGCTATTTTTGCCACGTACGTACGTCATCAAAATGGAATGAGAAGAACAGCTGATGACGTACTTGTACGTCATCGGAACGGGAAAGGATTGGCCGATAACACCTGTAAACATCGAGGACTGAAGAGCTTTGATCACATCGGGAAACTAATCAAGCCGAGTATATTTTCTGACGTCGAGTTGTCAACGATGGCCATCGAAGACATCGTCCCTCTCTTTCAAAAAAGATTGCTGAAACTCCACACCTACTCCCGCGTGATGTGTTGTTCTTATTCTTGTTATTGTTGTTGTTTTCGGGCGGTGCCGCTGTCAGTCGGTCCGCGCGATGTCCGACGTTCCGCTCCATCGCACTGGGAGCTACGTCTCCAGGAACTGAATTTTGTTGGTAATTTCTACTCCTCCTCATCCAGCGGTCGCTTGGACAGAGAACAGACACCCGTTCACGGAATCCACCCGCTATTGAGACGTTAAATAAAGCTGTATTCGGACCCTGAAGAAGCTCCCACCCCCCAGCGAGCACTTGGAGCAAAACGTCGGACATCGTGCCGACCCGAAAACACAAAGACAATCTACGCGGTCATAAAAGAAAAAAAAACATGAAATAATGAAAAAAATGTCGCCCATAAACCGCTGTTATTTTTCATCTCTTAACCGTCACCGTTATCGCCGCGATTGCAATCAGTTAATTACGAGCAGTAATGAGAACCCTTTCTCATTATATCGATGCCCCCCCCCCTCGCCCCCTCAGGGTTAAAGGGGTTTATGTTATTTTTTTTACAAAGGCACGCGTGTGAATTATTATTTTCTTGTGTGATTGGGGGGGGGGGGCAAATCAAAAACACATCAGCGGAGGGAGCTGCCAATGTCCTTAATCTGTGATGAGAGATCACACAGCATCGCCGCGAGAATGTTGATGATGAACTCCGGAGAGGGACCTTCCCCGGCACGCATTGGTTGAACAAAAAAATATATTTTTTGGAGTATATATATTTCATTCCAACAAAAAAATAACAAGAGTTGTTATACATTTTGATTTAAAGCTTTCGTGACTGCAGGGATTCATGTTCTTGGTTCTTTCGGTAATGTCACGTAGAAGGGAAATAAAAAATATATATAAAACAATTAAATTCTCACGACGTTTTGACTGCAACACAAGCAATCCTCATGAGGTGTGAAATCCACAGCAAGAAAATTTTCTTTATTGTTTTATATTTTTTTATTTAATTTTTTATTTCCCTTCTACGTGACTTTACCGAAAGAACCAAGAATATAAGAGTTGTTATCATTTCTCTTCGGAGGCGTCGTCAGTCTGAAGCCTGCGGGTTAGTTTTTTTTGCGTCGAAAAAAAGGTGAATCTAAACGTCGCTGGTGCCTCGAGAGGCTCAGAGCGCACGGTCCGAAACGTCGGACATCACGCACGAGCGACGCCACGGTACGACCCGAAAATCACCGAGCCGTGCAGCGCCGCCACGAAAACAACAACAACAACCGCCATTCGCCACTAAGTAGCGGTGACGTCACCACGACGCTTGTGCCAGGCCATGTGCACCTTGAGGCCACGTGAAGTGTCGAACGCCCGCTGGCAGGAGGTCACGGGGCAGACCCAGCAGGTGCCACGGGTCGACTGACTGAGAATACTGAGATGACTGGCTGATGCACCACCTGTGCCCCCTACTGTACCAACTTGCTGTGCTTTAGACACCCGGCGCTCTGCTCGTTGTTGTGAGCGTCGCTCCTCCGCCCTCCGTTGTTGTTGGAGGGCGACTGCCTCCAACTTACCAGTAGCGTCCTTCACGAGCCTCCTCCACTGAGGCCGATCTTGACACCGCGGAAACGCACACAGTCGGACCAACGATCGCATTTAACCCCCTGTAGGCTTTCACGAGCAATACGACTGTTAAACAATTTATCATTTTGAACAGATAAGGCCCCCGCTGTGCTGTGTAGCTCTTTTTCAGAAGCCACGTGGCTATCCCAAATGACAGCGCAACGAAAGTGCCTTATCATCATCACGTGGGGAATTATAGCGGCCAAATGCTCTAAATCCGTGATGTTGATTCTAAATGTGGAGGGAGAAACCGGAGGGCCCGGAGAAAAAAATCGGGATCGAACCCACGACCTCCTGTACACCAGGCGAGGTAGTTAACATCTCTTAACCACCGTGACCATGATGAGAGAGAGACACGCAGACTCCAAATATACAGCAGCAGGCGTCAGGGTCGGGATCGATCCCACGACCTCATGTATGTCAGGCGAGGGAGTTAACATCTCCTAGCCACCGTGATCATGATGAGAGAGAGACACGCAGACTCCAAATGTACAGCAGACGTCAGGGTCGGGATCGAACCCACGACCTCCTGTACACCAGGCGAGGTAGTTAACATCTCTTAACCACCGTGACCATGATGAGAGAGAGACACGCAGACTCCAGATATACAGCAGCAGGCGTCAGGGTCGGGATCGAATCCACGACCTCCTGTACACCAGGCGAGGTAGTTAACATCTCTTAACCACCGTGACCATGATGAGAGAGAGACACGCAAACTCTAGATATACAGCAGTAGGCGTCAGGGTCGGGATCGAACCCACGACCTCCTGTACACCAGGCGAGGTAGTTAACATCTCTTAACCACCGTGACCATGATGAGAGAGAGACACTCAGACTCCAAATATACAGCAGCAGGCGTCAGGGTCGGGATCGAACCCACGACCTCCTGTATGTCAGGCGAGGGAGTTAACATCTTCTAGCCACCGTGATGATAATGAGAGAGAGAGAAACGCAGGCGTCGAACCCACGACCTCCTGCCAGTATTGGACCATGATTTAATTTTTAGCGTGATGTGTTGCTCAGATGAGCTTTGAAGCATTCACAAAAAATCTCTGACCTACATCCCTGGCGCCAGCGGTGGAAATTCCACCTTCCTATGGTGCGTGGCCGAGTCAGTCTACGAGACGACCGCTGTTGACGTCCCCCCCGAAGTGGTTCTCATTTTAATAGCCGCAGAGTCGATGGTGGCCAGAGTCAAACACCACCAACTAGGATTCCAACTTGCAATCTTGTGTGTGTATGTCTGTACGTATGTATGTTTGTATGTTTGTATGGTGAAATTCTTGCGCATTGCACGTGGACAACCGCGCTAATCGGAGGTGCGTGGGAAGGTCAACAAACGATGGGTCTCTGTGTGAGTCTATGGGTCTCTGTGTGAGTCTATGCGTCTCTGTGTGAGTCTATGATTCTCTGTGTGAGTCTATGGTTCTCTATGTGAGTCTATGGTTCTCTGTGTGAGTCTATGGGTCACTGTGTGAGTCTATGGTTCTCTGTGTGAGTCTATGGTTCTCTGTGTGAGTCTATGGGTCTCTGTGTGAGTCTATGGTTCTCTGTGTGAGTCTGTGGGTCTCTGTGTGAGTCTATGGGTCTCTGTGTGAGTCTATGGGTCTCTGTGTGAGTCTATGGGTCTCTGTGTGAGTCTATGGGTCTCTATGTGAGTCTATGTGTCTCTGTGTGAGTCTATGGTTCTCTGTGTGAGTCTATGGTTCTCTGTGTGAGTCTATGGGTCTCTGTGTGAGTATGCACGTTGAACTTCTTTCGCACCGCACGTCGCCCACTGCGCTAAACGGAGCTTACGGAGCCACCTGGCCGGATCGATCATCCATCGCGGGCTCTCGTCGTGATCCCGTCGCACCTCGTGCCGACTCCTCTCTCTCCTCTCTCCTTCCCCCCTCTCTCCTCCCCCCTCTCTCTCTCCTCTCTCCTCCCCCCTCTCTCCCCGTGCCCCCGCGCCGCTGTAGAGGCAGAGCAGGAACATCCTGCGGAGAGCCCGGGACATGCTCCACCCCGTGCACTTCCAGAAGGAGGGCGAGGCTGTCAAGGTGGAAGATGACCTCATGACGCTGTGAAGGAGCCGCCCCCCCCACCCACCTCGACTTGCTCTCCAGGACACCACCGACCCCCGACTGGCAGACAAATGCCCCCTGGAGGGCGGCTGCGTTCACCATGGGCCAAGTTCCTGGGGGGGGGGGGTCGTCCCTTGGCTCAAACTTTCTGGGGAGGGGGTCCCCCTTGGCTCAGACGCCCTGGGGAGGGGGTCCCCCTTGGCTAAGACTGCCTGGGGGGGGGTCCCCTTGGCTCAGACTTCCTGGGGGGGGGGGGTCCTCTTGGCTCAGACTCCCTGGGGAGGGGGTCCCCTTGGCTCAGACTCCCTGGGGGAGGGGGGTCCCCTTGGCTAAGACTTCCTTGGGGGGGGTCCCCTTGGCTCAGACTCCCTGGGGGAGGTCCCCTTGGCTCAGACTCCCTGGGGGGGGGGTCCCTTGGCTAAGACTTCCTTGGGGGGGGTCCCCTTGGCTCAGACTCCCTGGGGGGTTCCCCTTGGCTCAGACTCCCTGGGGAGGGGGTCCCCTTGGCTCAGACTGCAGCAGGGCACTGGAACGTCTGAGATGATGATGACGATGGCGCTGCTGCTGCTGCTGCTGCGATGCACAAGGCGCGTTGTGGCTGGCAGAGGCGTACCGGCGGGCGTCCTGTGACTACAAACACTTCGTCGTGCGCCGCTCTTCCTCGTAGCGCTGGGCCCCAGCTCCAGTCCCCGGTGCAGTTGCACCGCCTGCACACGCAGCCGGCAGCAACGCCGCTGCCTCCGCTCGTCGCGGGAACGCTTGCACGGACTCGACATTGGGCACGCGCGCGCTAGCGAGCGAGCATACGTGTGTGCAGGTCACTGTCGCTTAGATAAGTGCGTTCTTGTGTGTGTATATATATAAATATAAAGGTGCGTGCGTACGTGTGTACATTGAACTTCTTTTCGCACCGTTCGTTGCCAGCCGTGCTGACGGGAGGTGCGGGGGAAAAGGAAACGAAACTAAACGCACGACAAAAAAGAGTATTCCGTGGTTCTTTCGGTAAAGTCAAAGAATATGAATTCCTGCAGAATATGAATTCCTTGCAGTCACGAAAGTTTTGAGTCTGAAAAACGTGAGTTCACCCACACAGAATCGGGAAATTCCGCTGGTGGTGGTGAATGGGTAGCGGAAGTGGTGGGGGGGGGGGGTGGTTGCAGAGATGATGCAGCGATTGATGAAATTCCCTGAGGGTGGACAACACCGGCGTCGAGGTGAACAACTCTCCAGAAACGCGGGAAGGCTCTTGTTTGCCAGAGTAGCCTGGGGCGTCAGTCTGCTCGCGTGCCTGCCGGCCGGTAGGACACGCGATGCGATATTCTTAGGTTTTTTCGGTAAAGTCACGTAGGTAAAAACATTAAAAAGTAAAATAAAATAAAAATCACGACGTTTCGGAGGCAACACAAGCTTCCGTCTTCAGGTGGAACCGTCACAGCCACGACAGCTGTATCAAGTTAAACGCGATGCGATGGCTGCCTGTTGCGTTCCGTCGCAATCGAAGAGAGTTTGCGGCTCGCAGAGTTTTTTTTGTTGCGAGTTTGGCAAATCTGCTCAATGGCTCCACCCACCAACCGAGTCTCTCTCGCCAGCGCCGTTGACGTCCACTTCGAAGCGGATGGCGCGGTCGCGTCGCCGTTCAAGTTCAAGCTCATGTATTAGGTATAGAGCCCTGTGAGCCATTCGGCTCTTGAATCGGGTGCAACAGCAACAAACAAAAAACAAAAACTTGAACAAAAAAACATCTTAAAGTGAATATGTGACTAAGTGCAAACAGAAAATCCAAGAAAAGACAGCAAAATATTGCAGAAAAAAACACCGTACGCCGTTACACACACACACACGCGTGTGCAGCGCAGTGTTGACCGGGGCAGCCCCGTGGGTTCCAACCGCGCCCCTCTGCGACAGGGTCGCGCGTGCCACGCCGCCGCCGAGCCGAGGGCGCTACGATTTGCCGAACGCCGTGGGGGGTGGGGGGGTGGGGGGAGCTTCCCACCGTTCACCCACGTGACCTTGCCGTGGTCGAGGTTCTAACGAGCGCAGTGACCCACGCGGCAAAGTGATGGAGGAGGCCTTCATCCAGCAGCGGATCGACAAAGGGCCGCAAAGTGACACTGGGTTTTTATTTTCTCTCACGGGGGAGGAGGGAGGGGGGAGTGTGGAATAATTCTTGCACTTCTAAAGTAAGGAAATAGATAATTACACAACCGTGTTACGCCTTTTAATCGACAAGGGAACATTCAGCCCATCGTTGACGCGCGCACGGCGTGAAATGTTTCCTTTAGCCCGAGCGTGCGCCGATCTCGTCGGATGGCAGAAACCGAGACGGGTTTGCGGCCGGTTCGCGCGCTTGGATGGGCATCGTCCTGGGGCACTCGGGAGATGTCGCGAGGGCTGCTGGCTGCTTGGTGATGGACGGTGGCGGCGGCGGTGGTGGCCTGGAGGCGTCAGTGAAGCGACGAGGACGACCAGAGGTCGCAATCGGGTACCCGATACCGGGCCGGGTACGGGTAGCCGGGTATCGGGTAGGGTACAGGTACCCGTTTGCGACCCTGGTGCGGCCGGGTACGGGTACGGGTAGGCCGTGAGTCACCGGTGAGTCACTGTTTGTCACTCATTTCGGGTAGGGTACGGGTACGGGTAGCGTACGGGTACCCATACCCGGCCGGGTACGGGTACCCATTTGCGACCCTGGTGCGGCCGGGTACGGGTACGGGTAAGGAATCAAAACCCGTTTGCGACCTCTGGTCTCCCGGCACGTGACGATCGCTCGTTCGCGGTATTTGCCAAACAAATCCCGTGGCAGGGCTCTCTTGAAAACGAGTCTCGAGACTCAGCGAGGCTTTCGCTGGATTAAAGGGCATTATAATAATTGTTAAAGTCATTATCCGCTTCTTTAAGCATTTACTGGAGTGTACAACTCCTGACGCCTTATCTCTGCGTTAACGTGACACGGCATTCGTTTCAGTTGCCGAGTCGGGGATTAATGTCTCGCCCAATATTTCCCCGGGTCACTGGTAGACTTGAGACTTGCAGTGGGCACCTGACGAGTTGTCACCACCGTCGGCAAGAGGTATCGTGGATTTTGCTTGTCGCCCTGCTTGTAATGCAGTGACGAGTTGGATCGTACAGAAACTCCTGCGTTGAAGATCCCCAATGCCCGAATATGTCCGGGCAGCGCTGAGTTTCCACCGCCGCTTTCGGAGTCAACTCCGAGGGGGCCTGTGGCAGGCAGCGAGTCTCACCCTGCGGCAAACACTTTGTGGTGCCGCTTCCACGCGTCATTCTTACAGCTCCGATGTTTGACCGATGAATTGAGCCACAATATAGGTTTTTGGAGGTTAGTTCAAAATGTGTGTCGTTAAACCCGCCACCACCCGACAACCAATTAGTCAGGTTTGCAGCGTAAACAGAACGCGCCAATTAGTTACTAGCTCAGCACACAACGGCGTGTTGGAGAGTTAACGGGCTTCACGACACATTTATATTGTGGTCGATCTAACCCAAAAACCTGTTTTGTGGATGATATTGGTCGCGAAGGCCACGTGTTACACTGATGGATGGATCTTTACTACTGATCAATGGATGGTGGAGGGATGATTGATGGGTGATTGATGGATTACGGGTGATGGATGCGTGGATTATATTTGATGGATGGAACATTGATGGATGATGGTAACAATGATTGACAATGATGGATTACTGATGTTGATGATGTGGCTGCGATAATTCCAGCTGTGATATAAACTCACAATATTTAAATTGAAACTGCTGCTGCTTCTCTCATCTGAAATGTATGTTGGATTATATATGTTTTTCGCTTTAATGCATGGCACTCCAGGGGATGCTTGGATTTTTCGGCTTGGACTGGAATAAAAGAAACCAGAGTGGATATTATTTACATAAATATAATAAATGCATTTTCAGAGATGGTCACAAGGGTTTGAAAACGAGGTGTGAAAAAAACCATCGCACAAATCCAACAATGGACTTATCTAAAATCCCATCTGAATTCATCTCTCGGTGACAATTTTACAATTCCACAAATTGAACCGTGTCATATTTGGTTTGCAAGTCTCTCTATATATGTTTTTTTTCATGTTCGAATCTGCTACGTGCCTACCAGCAAATGGGCCGGAATGTGCCCAATATCGGCGTCTGATCTAAAAAGCCCAAAGCAAGATTTTGAGGCTGTCTGGCTCTTGGCTGGGGGTGATCATCACCACGTATGATAACACCGTTGCATTGCAGGCTGCTGCGTGGCGCTCCAGAGAATAAAAAAAAAACAATATCCATTGTACCGTAATACGTGGGGGAATATTCTTGGGTTTTTTCGGTAAAGTCACGTAGGCAAAAAATTAAAATTAATAAAAGTAAAATAAAAATAAAATAAAAATCACGACGTTTCGGAGGCAACACAAGCTTCCGTCTTCAGGTGGAACCGTCACAGCACGATTGCTGTATCAAGTGAGGGAATGCTTTCCTGAAATGTTGCGGTGGCGAATATCGAAACGACGTATTACATCGAAGCGATTTACCGGGTAGCAGTAGTCGTAGTCGTCGTAGGGGGTGGTGGAGGCGAAGGCTGAGAGGCGACGTATAACGAGAAAGGAGGGACGATGACGTCAGCGACGTGAGCGTGGGGACAACAACAAAGAGACGACGTCGTTTGCGGGACGACGTAAACGCTGGGAGATGTAAATCGGGGTATTACTGTACTGTACTCCTGCACTCTCACATCTATGCTCCCCCCCCCCGCCTTCCCCCGACCCACGCTGGCGAGCGCGGTGAAAATGCGACCGAGAAATATAAATAAATAAATAAACAATCCCCCCCGCGGTTCGCCACGATGATGCCCTCCAAGATCCTTCACATCGAGCGGGAGGTTCGGCGAGCGAACGAACGCCGGCATGTACACCCACTAACCCACCCACCGACCCACCCACCCACCAACCCACCCACCAACCCACCCACTCACCAACCCACCCACCCACCAACCCACCAAACCACCCACCAATCCACTAACCCACCAACCCACCCACCCACCCACTAACCCACCAACCCACCAACCCACCCGACCGACCCACCAACCCACCAACCCACCAACCCACCCACCGACCGACCCACCCACCCACCCACTAACCCACCAACCCACCAACCCACCCACCAACCCACCGGCCCCACACCGACCCACCGACCCACCGACCCAC